CCTCGTCGATGAAACACTTCACCTAGCAGCCGTCGGGTGCCCTTGAACTCCATACTCTTCGTAAGCGAAGAGCGCGTGGGAAGCATGAGTTGGCCGTGTTTCCTGGTATGCCACCGGCGACGGATGCAGTCGTCAACTAAAACCATCAATCCTGTGACAACGATCATGCTGGATATGAGGTTAGTGAAATTCGCAAATTTCTTGTCAAACATAGCTTGAAACACTTACTCAGCCACATCTGGCATCTTTTCGTACACCGACGGATCGCTAATCCACATGGACGACGGAGGGACCCAGCCACCCTTGGTCTCCTCTTCAACGGCTTCCATTGGAGTCAGAATCTCGGGTACAATTCGAGCAATGGTTTTTGACGTCTGCATGTCGACTAGATGAAACGACACCTCCCGCAAGTCTCCATCTTTTCGGCTCTCGCGTCGCCACTGGTATCTTGTGCACCAATATTCGAATTCATACCGTTTGGGCATGCCGGTCCCACGTCTTCTGATCTCAACATGGGCATAATTTGAAAACTCTAGCATGATTGCGTCGGCTAGAAGTTGATTGTGACCTTCTGGGGTATCGAGGTCGACTTCGTCCTCCTTCACTAACTTCCGACCGTGATCCTGTCGCTTCTGTTTAGAAATATGCATTGAATGATCGCCATTCGAGCCCGGACGCAAACCGGCTAACGCGCTGCTCAATGATCGTTGGAACACCGGCCGCTTATTGGAGCTGCCCGACGATACCGGTCTCCTCTCTGAATGGCACACTTCGCGCTCGGATTCGCGACAATAACGGCGGAAGGAGAACTCCCTCGAGAATAAGTCGTACATGCGGAGGTGGAATAATATGACACCTTGCTGGTAGCCATCCACCCGCGGCGTGAGGGTGTGAACGCGAAGGTTCATGTTTCCATCGAGCGTCGCGTCATCGTGCCGGATCAGGAGCCGTCGAGGAGAGGGAAACAACCTCCCAAAGGTAGAGGAATTTGAAGGGATCACGTCGGATGGAAACATATCTGTATCAGCGCCCCGATCAGTTACCTCATAGCGTGGTTTCTTCGGTAGTTCGTCGTCGTGAATTGTCGAGGCGTATGTTGATACTGAATCCTTAGGCCCCATTGTGTCTCTCCGCTTTGATGCGGGCCTTTCGCTGTAGATCGTAGGGGCCGTGCTTTTTGAACGATCTGACGCATCACTGTACGTGGAGCTCGAACTCCCTCCAGTCCTTGAGCTTTGTTGCCGCGACGATGTACTGTATGATCCCATGGTGACAGTCCGTGAAGGTGTGGAAGTATATATGGGGCGGGTTTGTTGTAGTACAAGGCCGAGATAAGTAACGGCGCTTTATCCGTAGTTTTTTAAGGTAGTGACGTATGAAGAAGATATATAAGCGAAATCAGAAAGACAATAGAGAAACATAAGAATCGAAGGGAAGAAGGGAAGAAGGGTTCGATGAAAGAGGAGTGATGATCATCAATATGTAGTCAAGATAACAATGTTCATTCCAGCGGCTGAACGATTATTACTCAGATTGGGGCCAGGGTATGACCTATCAATCGATGACGGTACCTAGGGCTTACACCGAACACCAAAAGACAACACGAGGCGGAACTTCCAGCGGTCAACAGGAGAAGGGTGATGTGGTCATACGATGGTGTTCGGTTGAAAGGAGGCACGAAAATCAGAAACTCAACGAAGAAAAAACACGGACAAGTAAGGTGATCAGATTCCAAGGCTAAGGAGGGGGGTTGTCAAGGGAGGGGTCAGTGTACATAGCAGATGACGCCAAGGGCCACGGCAGACCCCAGAGCCTAGGGATTGGGATCAAGGAATGAAAGAAAATCAGTACCCTCGCTCAAGTCAACGAGGAGGGGCTTAAAGACAAGGTATGCGCGTGGCGCAGGATGAATTGAAAACAATGGGAGGGCAACGAAAGAGAATGAATGGAAGGTTGTAGGATGCTAATGCAGTGGAAACGGAGGGAGCCACGTTGCTGACTATCTAGTATGTATACCTAGGAGGTCCTTACTACTTAGTACTACGTTAGCACTGTTGATCGGTGATGCCCTACTTGACTGATTTGTCCCTCATTGATAGTAATACTCATAATACACCCACCGGTATTTAACGTCCAACGACAACTCTTTGTCGATTGTTGTCGAGTTTCAAAAGAGGAAGTATTATTATTGTTATTATATTTATATATATTAATTAGAAAAGATAGAAAGGTAAATAAAGAAGGATAGAGGAAATTGCCTTTTTTTAGGGGGGTGACCTTTCCCCCAGGGTATGTATGTATGCACACATAGTCATCAAGCACTCCCTTAGGTGATCCCCGATAAGGAACCACCCCTACATACACATACTACCAGAAAAGGTAGGTGATCCATTGATCCCAAATAACTATACCCAAAATTCAGCCATGTATTATGTTCATAGCCCCCAACTAACTCTACTAATTATAGATCCCCATAAACGGTGGTGGTGGTGGTGATATTGTTGTTGGACTGAACATGGAAGGTATTTAAAAAAGATTAAAAAAAAATTGCCCCGCACCCACACAAATCAAATCTGTGAACGCCTGGCCGGATACCCGATCTAACGAAAATCACGAAGTCGAAACTGCCTTACCCCACTACCTACTTCCCACTTCAGAATCCAGATAGCCTGACCGGGGAGCAGAAACAGGTTGCAAGATCTGCCTTTAGGCTGACGCCGACAGTTGATCATCGCTGGTTTCCGAGTAAGACGGTAGGAAATTAATCCATGTAAGGGCTTGTTACAGTGGCCTATGATCGTCTCCTTGTGGCTTGCGATATTCTCCGACACACCACCAACTAAAAGAGTTCCAACACGGATTAATCCGAAGACCTTATGGTGAACAACGAGTTTAGAATCCCCGTGGAGGCGATATTTTTCCTTTGTCCTTCGGCATTCAAGGGTGATTGCATGATGTGCTTACAGACCTTCTGACCAAGCGCACCTATTACCGTCCCTGCAGTTATTGTACATCCTGGGCTTACTACTCCAGAGCATTACTCAAGTCGCAGGTGTCAACATGCGGCCTGGAAACACATCCTAGCCTCTGTCAGCGGGTTTCGCCGTGTCGCTAGGGAACAACCGAGCTTGCACAGGATTCCTATCAGATGACAACCGTTGTTTTCATTGTTATGCTTTACACGCTGTATCTTGCAACACGGAGTGCCTCTTTAGAACTGTAGAACCAAGACGCCCGATGCCTGACAGCCCAACCCCCTATTAGTGTTTTATTTTCGAGGTAACAGTACCGTGAAACTAACTGGGGCTGGCCACTCGGACCGGACCGAAGCTAGGCCTGTGCTTTCAGCTCATTGGTCAGAGTGTGTCTAAGATGGATAACTATAAGGCGGCTTGGAAGTACTGCATACTCTCAACTTCTCGAGTTGGGTACTGGTGGTTATGACGGGCAACGGTGATTTATTCTCTTATCTTCCTAGCGTTTCCGCTTATCGTGACTATACCAGGTTGGTTTTAGTTCGAGGTATTGCAGACATAGGTATCTAGGTAAAAACCAGGCTCAACGGCACAACAGCTACCGACACCATGGTTCTGGGGTATTCACCTCAATAGTATACTTCATGCTTCACGGGACTTAGCTTCTGAAACTAAAGAACGGTTCCTCGGTCACTGATACAAGTCAAGACTTCCGTCTGGTGGAACCTGCGCATTCTGTAGACGCATATGACGCAATTGCAATGTGCGACGATGAAGGTCAAAGAACAATCATTCTGGAGTATTAGATTTGAGTTCCATGGAACTTTCCGGCTCGGATGTCATCACTGTTTTGGAACCCCTCGGTACTTGAAATGAAGAGCACAGCAACGGTGAGTTTCGTCGAATACCATCCTGCCAATAATCACGTGGAATTTCCGCGAAGGTTCAAAGCCGGTTCCGGAACCTCAGCAACATGTGTTGAGGTATGACAAATGTGAGCGTCACGAGCGATGTGCCACCGTTCACGAAGCGGTTTACGGAGTACTCCGCAGAGGTTCCCATATGCCAGAATCACGGACCTATGCCACGAATTATTACGTTCCTCATGCCACTCGATCAATGCCTGTAGAGGGTATGGGAAGCTTCAATGCTTTTTGTAACACGGAATGACGGCAACAGGCATATATCTCCCATTTTTCAAGGTTTGTTGTGGGGGGAATCACTCACTACCTCTACCAATAGATCGGATATAGCTTAGGAGGTAAGGGGAGGTTAGCAAATAGTGGCGAAATGCTGATGAATTAGACCGGTCTAGAAATGCATGAGTGCCTTGGGTGCCGTAGTAGCCTCTACTAGTTGAGTTTATGTAATGTATATTTATTTCTCCTAGGTCATTCATTGTTCATTGACTACATAAGTACTATTACCTCACGGTCTCTTGTTACTCTACTCCGTAAACGCAAGGACCCAGGTCATGGCTTATCTACTGTGTAAAGGACTCCGCCATGATTATCCACAGTGGAGATAAACAGGGGTAATCTTATATAATTTGAGTTTGTAAGAAGCGTAGGGTACACGTTGTTCAAACTCCCTGGCAATGAAAGAGGGTCGGGTTCTTAGAGCCCACTCTCGGTGTGCGAATGGGTAGGAGTACCAGAGACACTTTTATCATAGACACTCATGGAAGGCAACCTGTCGCTGGACGTATGCTCAGGAGTCGGGCGAAGAAACTGACAAGGTTGTAACTAGCATGTCGAAAGACAGTGAGACGATTTGAATTCTTATGACTGGAATTTACCCGGCTTCGCGGTACCAAAAAGAAGAACAGATGAATATAGGACTTTTTTTCCAGATTGCACATAGGAATGCATAATCATCCAGTCAACATGGGTTCTAATGTATGATACGCGGTGGTATCCGACATACCAGTTCAATCCATGTAAACTTGGTTGTTAGCTGCACAATTGTCATTGGTATCAGTTCTAGAGTTGTTCCCACTTCTAACCATAATTAGATAAGCAAATGGGGCTTGTAGCTCAGTGGTAGTAGCGCTCGCTTTGCATTGTTTGCATTAAACTGCATAAATTGCCTGCGAGAGGTCAGGGGTTCAATCCCCCTCGAGTCCACAAATTTTTGCCTGTATTTCCCCTTTTTTACATGGGAAGTGTTATTTGGACGAGACGCTAGACTGGAATAGGAATATAATATACTGCATGTTTGTAATACCATCTCTTGTTCTACTTTCTGCTTTTAAGACTTTTATAGTTATTTTGTTATCAAAAAGACTTTTTTATAATATAAGAAAGCTCTGATACATAAAATTTAAGATATCTTAATATAGCGTCTGTAGGAGTTGTATAATACTGTATCTATATAGAAGAAACTCTCTCTACTTGCTACGATATTATAATGTACTAACTACATAATTTTTCTTTAATAGAAGAAGGGTAAACTCAGAAAGTAGGTAAATATTTCGTATTACCAATACACAGTGTAATTTCGACCTATACTAGTGTAGCGTCTCGTCCAAATAACACTTCCCATGTAAAAAAGGGGAAATACAGGCAAAAATTTGTGGACTCGAGGGGGATTGAACCCCTGACCTCTCGCAGGCAATTTATGCAGTTTAATGCAAACAATGCAAAGCGAGCGCTACTACCACTGAGCTACAAGCCCCATTTGCTTATCTAATTATGGTTAGAAACTGAAAGACATGTTAACGATCAACCGACTATAGCACCAGCAAATCCGCGCAAGAGAAAGACGGACATACCGTAAATATTTACTGGATATCAAATCCCACCCCTTGTATTTGGAACTCAGTTCTCTGAAAGTCAACCATAGGTCACAAACCTAGGGTTTTACACGTTGTGTCTAACTGTAACTCGTGCTGATCTATGTCTTTGTGCTTGGGGCAGCGTCCCCATGAAATGCAAAGCGTGCGCTCTATGACATTCCGCAACCCAGAACATTAAGTTGTGTGATAGTACAGAGTACCTAGTGAATGTTCTGGTCCTCACAACGCATGCTAAGACACGTCGAAAGCCCAGGAAAGAAAATGTCAAGGGCTCTGCTGACGGTGCCTATATCACATACACTGATGAGCGGATATTGCTTTACGGCCACAGACATAACGTAAACAGGGTATGCCTCAGGGACCCAGGCACACCTGACACGGCTGCTCGGTAATTACTAGATGATGAAGAGCACATCGGTGGCCACGTATCTGTGAAAAGACATATAGACATCAATTTGCCTATCTTACACCGAGACCTAATGAAGTACTGTACAACCCGCTACGCCCAAGCTCTACTCCTAGAGTGTCTAGAGGTAACGGCGATTATATACCGCCAACAAGAAATCTAGAGGCAAAAGTAGAGAACTTTGAGGTCCACAAGCTCATACTTGCGCCCACAAAGGTTGCGGAAGCTCATCGCCCGGTTGGATCATAGCTTCCTGGCGGCAGGTTGTCGGCTGGGTTACAAGGCCAGCGCGACTTCCAGGGGTTGGGGCGTAGAACCCGACGTACGCCTCGCGGCGGGCGGGCTCTCCCACAGTGACAGACCAAGTGTGCAGACCATAGTAAGAGGCAATGGAGTGGACGAGCCAGCGACTGACAAAAGTAAACGGTTAGACTTGGCCCATCACGAGAAGGGAGAAAGCAGAATTTACCCGAACCCAGCAGCCCGATCTTCTACCTGGCTCTCAAACACCAATTTCTCCCCATCCCGTTCTTTATTAACTTGCATCGCATCGCGCATCTGCTGCAATTGCTTCTTGCGGCCAGGGGAGTCGTGCATTTGCCCATTTCTTCCCACAAAGACGACCTCGTCCCCGGAGTCCTCATCAGACGATTCTAGAGCATCGACCAAACCATCCTTCTTGAGCAAGAGCTGCTTCTCGCTCCACCTCTGAATGAACTGCCTGATGTCCTCTTCGATGTCCTGAAGCATACCGCGTGCGGCACGCGCACGCTTCAGCCTGAGGCGAAGATCTTTGGGAATCTGATGTTTCTCATCCCTTGTCATCTGCTTTGACGAGGTGCGATCGATGTGCTTGTAATGAACGTCCCAGAGAGGAGCGAGGTAGTAAGGCATGGGGTCATGTCGCGTGTAGGTAGGCTGGACACACCAGTCTTTAGAAGATGGTGGCTCTGCCCAGGGGTTGTTCAGGAGACGATCTTCGGTGAAAAGTCCTGTCAGTACAACGCCGTATGCGGAAGGAGTTCACCACTCAGGGTCCGAGGAGCACAAGTCGTAAGAACAATTCCAGCTATGCGCAACTGGTCGATCAAAACATACCATTCTCCCAACGTTGTCTGCGACGACTTCCATCTTTCCCTTTCAGTAAAGCCTCGCGCCTCTTCAAACTATCCCGACGGAGCGGCTCACGACGCCGGAAGCTAACGGAAGGGATCTGCTGCGTCTGGTTCGAAGCCAGGTCTAGAAGCTTGACCCTCGGAGCAGACGTATTCTCCATGCTAGGAACGGGATCATCTAACGGGATTGATAAAGTGACCATTGTTCCTCGCAAGGCGCCGCGCGTGGAAGTGGGTTCTGATTCAGGACAGTTCGTCTCGCCTATTGGTGCCGCATCCGAGATAGTTAAATTTTCCAGATGTGCAGCCGCCTGCTCTGACCAAGCCGAGATAGCTCGGGCTTGATGCGGGGACAGTGTCCCTTGAGCATTGGATTGAGAGCGCAAGGTCGGATGAATGGCCATCGTGTATGGCTCAACGGGGTTTGACTTCGTCAGACAGGTTCGCTAAATTCCGGGTTGTGAGGACAGGGCAGGGTAGTAAGCACGCAGGGGTTGTCGCGATCACTTGGGATTCTACCTCTCATGTACGGGTGAGACCAGCACTCTGGTTAAGGTTGAGGAGTGCGAAAGGAGGAGAGGGCGGGGATGAAGGCCAGGGAGCCAGATAAGAGAGATACGGACCGGAGTACCGTCTTGCGCGCTGCGTCCGGTCGCGTCCGACAATTCTGGCGTTTTACGGGTTGAGTCACGATGGGGCACGAGTGCCTGAGGCTGGCCACCATTGGCTAGTGTTCTATAGCCCTAGCCCTAGTTAACTCTAACAGGGGTAAGGTTTCCCCAATCAGGATTCATGTTACGACACGAGTCAGTGTGATTCATCCATGACAGAAGATGAGTCGAGTTCGATGGTTTAACCCGATAGAGACTACTTAAAAGCACACTAGTTCTTGCTATCTCCTCCGTGCAGTTAATGATATCATTGATTCTCCAAGTCCTTGGTTACTTTTGCCATTAGCTTCAAGTTTCCCAAGGTAGTATTCACTTATCTTGACATCTTAATTGACCATTCGCAAACAGCCTACAACCGTCGTCTTCCGGGACATTCTTTCTGACCTTTGAAGGCACATATCCATCTCACAAAGAACAATATTATCCACAATTGCGTGTAAGATTTACCACCGAGCTACCTCACATCACAATCTACTCCGTAGTCTCCTACAATACCCTGCACATTCGGTGAGGATCATTTTACACGTCTCGAATGGTAATGTTACCTGGAGAAGTATTCTCCATTTGTCTCGGAACCTAAGAAATACCACATCGCCTCCTAGACACTGATCCGACACGGCCCCTGACGCTGCGACTTTTACCGAGGTGAGACCACAGAGGGGTTCCTTTGTAGCGTAGCACCCCAGGGCGACTGAAACAGTTGGTTCACAAGGAAAGCCGATGACCAAGTTTATCGCCATCCTATTGTTGATGGGAACCAAGGAAATGGCGGAGTTTTAGGGTAAGACTACAGCGTACTACCTGGTTGAATAGCCAACCTCGTACCTACGTGCCCCGAACTACTAGTATTCTTTATGGTGGGACCCAGAGCGCCATTTGGATATGTTGGTGCTCATCCAAGCTTGGAGGCTGCAGGAAGGATTTGTTCCTAGTGAAAATGAATCAGCCCGAAGGAGCCGCGCTTAATTTCCCGGTGCAAGCCGGACCATTTGTGGTCGCCTGATGGAAAAGGAGCTAGAATGAGCTGGTCTTTGGTTATCTCTTTTTCCCTTTTCTTGAATACACCGGTGAAAGATCTCTCAGCGATGATGGTTAAGACATAGTGGATATTAACTGGGCTGGGTTTGATGGGGCCAAAATCTGTACAGCCACATCAATACTCCTGTTATTTCCGACACGGTCGCAACGCGGGGCGAGTCACGATTATTAATAGCGCCCATGTCTTAACTAATGGGATACTAGTCGCCTTGTGGAGTTTAGCCTTATGATGGAAAAGGGAAATTCTAGGTATGACCCGTCAAAGTATGAAAAGAGTTGGAGAGAAGAAATAGATAGAAGAAAGAGAAAAAGAAGGGGAAATAATTACAGGGATAACCATTCACTTGTGGACAAATGTACATACAGAGTATATATAGGGACCTCGGGCGCGGCTATGCGGTAACACAGTGTTTGACAAAAGAAAAGGCAACTTAGTCAATAAACATAGCAGTCATGAAAGCATGGCTTTGGACCATTACTGATTCACTACCTCCAACATGAGTAATAAGATTTCTGGTCCCTCTTTGGAGTTTGGACCCTACACAAAACTCCACTAAAGCGCCTAACCTGCGGCCTGCATTATTAAGTTGATCAATGGTTTGTTAGGTACAATTTGTGTAACCTGTCCCAGTAGATCAGGTACTTATATCCCACACCGTCCGCCCTCTGACGCATGAAGGACCTGATCTTTCTCCCATGCATGATCAGATGCAATAATAAACCCTATGAAACTTCCATAGTCCTGTTATTGTTATTGTTGTGATTGTCACTATTATTTCCTCTACTATTGTAGTAGTCCGCAGCTCGTGACCAATTGACTGACTAAGAGTTTCACCTTCCAACTCCTTCATTTGTATCATTGATCCGAAGGTGTTGGAGAGAGCCGGTTGCACTTTCAGCATCCCTCTTCACCGTCATTATAGCATTCCCTGAATATCGACATATCTGCCTCTTATTATTTCTTCTCTTCCATACTTCCTCAGCAATAAAATCTCTTTAATTTTCCTTTATCTTTTCCATCGATATATTTATTTGCAATTTAGCATGAGGATCCATGCAGCTCTTGCTTGGAGCGCAACGGCTTCCGTTGGTGTCCTGG